ATAGTGAAGAGATAAATTTTGCTCAACTTCCCCAGAAAAAAAATTGCTTATTTATTAACTAATTTAAAATTATATGGTCACAATCAGACGGAATAGGGAGATCCCCCCTATACTTCCCGATGGTCCGCTTACCTACAACAGGCTTTATAAGTCCCCAGAAGTGAAAGGCTGGTTTATATTTGAATGCCCCTCGTATATATAAAGTATACGTAACATATATAAGATGAAAGGCAACAATCCAAGTTTTTACTGCAGTGCCTCTGTCAATTACAAACCCTAAATCCGCCACTGATTTTCGACACTTTTGATGGATATATTCTTTATTTTTAAAGATGGAGGGTGCGGTTTTCGCGACAGTTTGTTGGTTTTTTGTAAAATTACAGATGGCGTCACTAGAATTTTCGTATCTCTTTTGGTTTTTGGATGGATGGAATTGAAAGGTATCACCTTTGAGGAACCTCCTGTATCATAGTTATTTTTTAGCATCTTCCTTTTTAAGTTATGTCGCAAAAAAATGTGTTCTTTTAAATGGAACACTTTGTAAATTATTCCTCGCCATAACTAAGAAAAGGAAAGGTCCTAAAAAAAGCAGATTAAGCCACTGGTTTCTATGAGACAGTTCTATAAGAATATGTTTTAACTTCTTCGATAAGTTTAAAGACATCCATATAGGATACTTATCAATTTCACCGTGTACCTCAAAAATCAAAAGAGATATGATTATTCTGCTAGCGTTATATTTAACTTCACAACACATTGTCGCGAAAACCACAACCCTCTATCTTTAATAATTGGGGAGATATCCCGCAAACAAGAGTATCGAAAATAATCTTGCGAAACTGGTTTACATTTGAGCAATTTTATTTCACTATTTTTGTTGTCTAACCTAACTTAACCTAACCCCTTTTATTTTGAATTATTTATATAACATGTGACACTTTTTTTTATAAGTATTAAGAGACCTTTAACATAAAAATAAACCCGTGACAAGTTTGCCTAGTTCGACCACGTTAGACAAAAGAGAAGTCATTGGTATTTTGTGTGTAAGTTTTTGGATAGGTAAAATTAAAACTTACTGGTTTATCATTTTGAACTTTTACAATTTTCAACATCAAAATTGTACAATATTAAAAAATCGGTCAAATACAAGGTAGGTATGTACATAGATCGTTCGCTACGGGAAACGAGTCTCGAAAATTTTTTCCGAGTATGTTTTAAGTTGTCTCCAAGATCAGTCCCCGAAAAGTATAATTACAATGTTACAATTACAACGTTATTTTTTTGTGATGTAACTACAAATTTACGGTTTTCGAATTTTCTCCTTATCTACTTGAGCTATAAGACATTGCTTCTTGCCAAATTATATGATTCTAGGTCAACGAGAAGTACCCTATAGGTTTTGATTTCCGTATGAGAGCCAAAATATGCGGCAATTTCAANTGTCAGACGTAGTTGTAAGTAGTTACGTTTCTAAAGTCCTTTTAGCTTTTTGTGTTATTAACCATTTGAAAAAAGGTACCTATTTTTGTGTAAAGTGGTCTCTGAAGAAGCATGATAAGTTAGGTAGATTATAAATCAGTTGCATTGGAAATGAAAATCTGCCACTCAAATCACTGATAACGTTAATTCTTCTGTTAGTTAAAATTTAGTTTGATATATCAAAAAGTTTATAAACAATTTTCATATTATCATAAAATTCTATTAATTGTAATAAAAAGTAATATAAAAGATTTCAAAAAAAAAAAGAAGTAAATTTATTTTTAATAAATGGGTCATGTCGAAAAGATGAAACTCCGATGATGTCTGACCATGTGCGTAGAAAAAGAAAAACAAAAATACTCACAATTGTTTCACAGCCAGTAAATATTCCTACCCGGACGCACAATTGTTTCACAGCCAGTAAATATTCCTACCCGGACGCCTACAGGTGATCATTAAACTCCGATGCTTGCGAAACACAAAAAAAAAATATAAAAGTCACAGAATTCGCGGATCATACATCAAAAATTTCGCGACCGCCACACCGCAACATTTCGACCTTAAAGTGACGACAACAATGTACCATTCGAGCGGTGGTTCCGTTAACGAATGCATAAGATGCAAGTTTAAATCGATCCGATCTTTGACATTCTGCGACCAACAACAAATGATCTTGCCGCTGGGTTGCCGTAGAGTGTGTACTACAGCTTCTGGTGCCCACAAATCGTGTGGAATCACGTCAACGAAGCTCGAGATTCTCAATGACGGTGACGACGCACACCTACAAACATTCATGTACGTACATGGAAATACATCTGTGCTGGCTGCTTTACAGCCATCCGTCCCGTTGTCTGTTATCCAGGTCCCTCCGGTTCAACGTGAAACCCTATCTTCCGTTGTTAGGTTGTTCCTGTCCTTGGTCACTGGTGTGTGGGTCGGAAAACATCGAAACCCACATCTAATTCATTCTTTACAGACAGTCACGAAAGTGCTTATCGTAGCCGTGTATTGGAAGCTAAAGTTGATTTATAGTAAAATTCGATGGACACAATCCATTAGGGAAAAGGTATCCATGAGAGATTTTCCCAAATAAATATTTGTGAAGAACGAAGATCCTTATTACATGTTGCAAGATATTGCCAGATGAATATTTATTATTCTCTAGTTTTTTTTTGTTTTAAGTCAATAAGAAATAGGCAAGTTAGAGACATACCTATTAGAAGCAGAAACAGGAATTAATAGGGGTAGAGGAAGATCAAATAGTAAAGGATGTGGAATTTTCTACTTTCAGGGGAACGCGAAGATTAACTCAGGATAGGAAAGACGATCATCATGAGCTTTTTTTACCGAAATTCTTTTATATTTCTCATAAGAAAAAGAATAAAGAATGTTCCAATAAAAAAAATAATTTGGTACAAAAAAGGGAAGGGATTTCCCTTTCTTTAAGTACTTACAAGATACAAGCATAAAAAACTTAGTTCCTACCGTGTATTCCCGACATCACATAGATTGTTTTGTCAACTTAATTTTATAATAGATTTACATCTATTTACTTTAAGAATCACTTATCAGGGAATTTCCTCGAGGTTATCATCATCATAAGGTTGTTAGTCTTAAGACTGGTTAGACACGCACATCCACTATTTTCTTTCCTGAGTTAATCTTCGCATTTCCCTAATAGCAGAACATCCCACATCATTAACAATTTGCGAACAGTATTTTAATTTAGGTCGTCCTCTACTCCTGCTTCTGCTTCTAACATGTCTCTGATTAGCCCTTCAAGCCTGAGAAGGTGTCCTACCAATCTGGCCCATTTCTTATTGACTTCCGTAGAGTTCTCTGATTTCCTATTCTTTCTAATACCTTTTCGCTTCTAACCTTTTCTATCCGCAGTATCCTCATCATTCGCCTGTAACACCACATTTCCAACGCTTCTAACCTTTTCTATTACCTGTATATCCCTACTACTCCTCCGTCCTGGCTTATCTGACTTCCTAGATACTGAAAATCAATCACTTCTCAAGGTTATATCATAGGACAACTGTAACTGGGACATCACGTTCTAACGGAATCGAACTTGGTGAAATATCGCTGTTGATGATCCCAGAATGTTTGAAACAGTAGGTGTTTACCCCACAGAAGTAACTTAGCTAAGCAACCAGACTTTCTATACGTTGTTTTTATAAACAGACCATTCGCTAAACTTATCATTGCATTCGAAAGCAATCCCTTATTACTGATCGCCTTTTCACAATATCATTGCAACTGTTGTACCGACACAGCCCCACTGCAATCAAAGGGTGGTTTGTCCTCTTTAAACGTAATACTAATTTAACAGATTTAGAAAATTAACAAATTACAAACGATATCGGAAATGTTGTTTCTCCATCTAGATTGATATTTTCAAATTACGAAACTGCTTCTACATTTTCTCAAAAATTAAAAGATGGAGACGTTACTTTTTTTTAAAAACTCGTACTCTACTTGTTTGTGAGTAACTGTAGATATTAGCTGCTTCAAAACTCACATATAACATGCACAGCTTAATCAATTGCGTGTAGTTTACATAAAGGCAAAAATAAAAGCGATAGTAATTGATTGATACCGACTGCTTTTAAAGGTTTTACGGAAGGGAAGTGTTATATTTATATACAGGTAAGAGTAAACAGTTAACAATACAGAAATCAAACACAGAAAAGGGATAAACCGCAGAGGATTTACGGTATACGTCATGTTGGAATTTCAAGAATTCCAGATATTTATTCAAAAAAGCAAAGATTTACTGGAAATTATCAGGGTTTATTGAAATTATCCTGGAATTACAAATAATTCATTTCTTTTTGGTGGGGAATTACCAACGAATGCGTATTACATTCAAAAATGTTGACAACAAACGTAGGGGAGTGCAAATGTATTACGGGTTACCTGTTTTGGTAAACGAATTGAATAGATAATCTCTCCTACCCCAATGAGACATTTTACCCATTTGTAAAGATGGTCAATTACAATTGAAGAGTTTCATTATTTTCTTGTAAAAAATTTTTTTTTGCAATTTTTAATGTCATCACTTACCTAATATGATACATTACTTTTAGTTTAGGTTATTAAAAAACATTAAAAAAGAATGAGGCATCTCTCTCATCTTGTAAGGAAAAGCACGTGTTTGGTGGTTCTTCCGGTGTACTGCCGTACCACATTAAAATGAATCAACTCTTCTAATTGGTTTAAAGAATTTAATTCACTTAGAAAATACGGATATATACAAATAAATACAAAACTTAAACTACCGTGGAAACTTATGATGAAATAACAAATTAACTAAATAAAAAGAGATAAGATTGACTGAATAATTTGAATGTTTAAGACAGAGACTTTTGTAATGAATAATGAATGACATTAATGTTGTGAAAAACTTGTGATGACTCTTTGGTTACTGAAAAAGCGAATATAAATACAATTGGGATACACAGATCAGACTCTTATTTACCAATAATACAATGTACATGTACATTGAACATAAATGAACTGGTCTATGTACAGATGTTGCCGGCAATGTTACAAAGTGGCATTGTTGTAAAATGGCTCTAGTGACCGAGCATGACTATGAATAACTTAAAAATAAAACTGCCAAAATAAAATACAAATAGAAATAAATGGACTAAAATTATAAAAGTTTTATAATTGTTTCAATAACATCTTTACCGTCTCTGAGCATGGTGCATACCTTATTTGAAAATATCGGAAAAACCTGCATACATATAATGCAAATCTATAATAAATAGATAATAAATTGTTTTATCATAATTAGTTTATCAGCCTCCGACATATTTGATGAAATGATTCATCACTATCATCATCAAAATAGGTCATCACCGCTGAGATTGGTTGGACACACACCACCACTCATTCTTATTCTGAGCTAATTTTCGCATTTTCCTAAAACACAGAAGATCCTGCATCTTTTGTGAACAGTAATCTGCTCTCTACCTCTACTCCTCATAACTCCTGTTTCTGCTTCTGATATGTCTTTGATCAAATGATTGCACGTAATGATTAGAACCACGGTTGATAATTGCATTGCAAATAAGTTTTATTTTTTCAAAGCTTTTAAACTAATTATAAAAAGGAAGGTAGGTAGGCACATCCCGTCATAAAGTTAGCATTTTACGTTTCAACCCATTAGTCATTTAAAATTGACATTTGCTTAACATATACAAATCCTTAACGGAATTCATACATTTATTTGCATTAATTGCATGCAGTTTAGTGGCTACTTATAGTAATTGACTGGTAAGTCATTGCTCTTCCTTTTCTTTTTTCGTTTTTGTTCTTTTTTACCTACTAAAATGCTAACGTGATGGCACGAGATTGTTTTTGCAACGTTTCTGGAACGATAATATCTGACAACATGCTGAAGTTTTTCGTGAGACACGAAGTCTTCGTTTTTTATTTTTGTTTCTCGGAAAAGAGGAGTCACAGGAGACGGATAAGTAAACGCGATCATTTTTTTTTAAAACAACGATTCACGCAAAATAAAATTGGATTGTTAATATTAGCTAGAAAAAAAAAACGCTTCTTTCTTTCGATTTTATCGTTAAAAATACTATGAATGCAGAAATATACAAAAGGTGCAAATAAGGTATTAGTCCAGGATCCCTGGTACATTTTTGCACTTGATTACTATCAAGCTAATTTTCCGTGAGTAGCTTCATTTTGATGAGACGCCCAACAACTACTTGTAAGAAACTTTGATTGTGGTAGCTAACAGAGGTAGCAAGGATAAAATATGTCGGTTTGATGATTCTCAAAAATTTATTACCAACTGGGTTTTTTTTGTTTAATCTCAAGACAATTATCTTCATTATTCGAAAAAATATTTGTCCTACAAAATCTATGGTTTGATCAAAGAGTCCTTTCTTTCCAACATGCACCGATAACGAGGTCATCTACTAACCAGCTGAGTTTTTTTTACTTCGTTAATATTTATATAATTTAATTATCCTACAAATTGCGTGGTACGATCTCCCAGTGTAATAGCTTTTTTCATCAAAAATTCTGCCTAGGAATAAGAAATATAATTTAATATTTCACACGTTGGAAGTTTTCATATGGAACTGATGTTTATTAATACTTCTTATACCTATTGTTTATTTTTTTGATAACTGATTAAATCAAAGCCCAAACTGACTGACGCTAATACACGGCATTATAGTATATTTTATACACCAATGGAGGAAAGTATGTCATTTTCCCTCGGCTGTAAATTTCCACCAGAACCGAAGGCGAGGACGACAAACTCCCGGGAGGGTCCACCGTATATTCTTCCCGAGGTCAGTATACGATTTTGTACCATCCTCCTGCCTCGAAAGTAATATTTTTCCTGATTTTTTTAACACCCGACACGTGGAAACCTTTCCTAATAAGGAGTAAATGTGATTTCTAAATCAGGAGGGAATGTTGCGCTTTCATCCCTAAAATTAAGGAAAAATGTATTTTCGGTAGGAGTATGACAAAAAGGCACTTTTCGGTGACAAAGTTGCATTCATCAGAGACTGAAAAGAACTAAAATTGAAGGTAAGGTATAAACATTACAGACACTAACTAACGTTACGATTATAAGAAAAAGAATTGGTTATGACAAATTGATAAAGGCTTTCGCGGCCAGTAGGTGAACTGGGAGGAGTTAGAGGTAGTTTTAA